GTCAAATCCCCAGGCAGGGAAATAAATGCATGAACCTTTTTTATTATTGTTCCCTTCCATTCCGAGTGGAAACAGAGCGTCAAGCTTGAGCTTTATCAATTTGGTAGTGACAAATCAGCCACACACACACACACACGAATATACCCAACCTTCTCTCTCCATAGGGATTACTATCGGTTAAACGAGGTTTAGAAGTCCATCGTAGGGAATAATAACTGAATGGCATGAAAGGTTGCTGAGTATTTCGAACCACTGAACTGTACACCTTTTGTAAATTTTAAAATCAAGTGTTGGTTTGCAGGGATTTGATTGGTTAGTGGACTGATCACTAGTTGACACTAGTTGCAGAGCCGTTGGAAAACCAGCTGGCAGTACTAGGCAGCTAGCTAGCTGTCACATCAGTCTAGTCTGTAACTTTCCAGTAGTGCCCATCCACCGCCTGGGTTAGAAGCCAAGACCTTCCATTCGGTTACGTTACGATACGAACTCATAGACCATTCAGCCATTGGGACCCAACCCACTGTCTCGTGTTATCCAACTTCTGCCAATTCGTGATATAGTCAGTCAAGTGGACGGTTACTCGTCCGTGACATTGGTCAGCGGTTTTGCTATATATATATATATAGCTCTGGAATCGAAGAGTCTACATCTAGGACTAAAACCCTGGCTGTCCAGTACTTCCAGCTAGCTTTCAAATGGTCCTTTGATTGATCAGTCCTGTTACTTCAAAAGTCTTAATGGGACATTTTGATATATGGTTTACAGATCTGACATTAAGTTGAACCGATCACATACATACAAATTAATATCCAAAGAAATAGTCACTTTGTATCTGATATTTTCTTTCTCCTATGGTGACCCACAAAGTCGCTTTAGAAATGTTTCTCATCTAAGTGGATTACTCTCATACTCAAATAGAATTTTCATCTTATATTGGATGAGTCTAATAATAGTAAAGTAAATAGTGATACTTTAATTGACTAACTGATAACATTCTCATGCAGAGGAGTTTGTTGTCCATAATTAAAGCCGGTCAATATTCATAATTATCTCCATTACTGTGTACCCTTTCGTATGTTGTTAGCCAAAGGAATAAAATTATAGATAACGACGGTAAACATTAGATACTGTTTCGGTGATTCAGCAGAATCCGTATTCCGCCATAAATTAAAAAAAAACTAGAGATATACCCTCTTTCCCTTTTTTATGACTATGTGTCGGCAGATTAACTAAAGCTTTTTATTTTTTATTTAATACAATGACATTCAACGTTGAGAACATAATTGATTCTATTTATTTAGAATAATGACTCATCAATACGAGTTAGTGCAATGCTTAAGAGTCAACACAGTTTATGCATTTTTCTATAGTTTGGTTTGTAAGGGTTAGTTTTGCTTCGTTTTTACGAGTTGATCACGGATTGAGAACCATTGAAAACCAGCCATAGGGAGTACTGGACAGCCAACTGTTTCACCCTAGTTTGGAAATCATCGGCAGTACGCACGCACCTACCACAGGGGGTTTGAACCCAGGATCTTCCGGTTACAAGGCTAGCTAGCTTGTATAGCATTCAGCCACTCACTGGGACCCTATCCAATGCCCAGTTCATGAATTGTAACTTCTACCAGTTCGTGATTTAGCGCGTCTCCAACCAATATCGTCAGTAAGACATCCATCCTCACACGTTTCAATGGTTGTCTAGCTGATATCAATCCGTGATTAACTCGAAAAAACAAAACTAACTCTTACAAACCAAACTATAGAAAGTTAATCTGATGCTCGCTAGTGACTTGCTACAGGATGTCGTGACCAGTGAAGTACATCCAGATGTCACGTGTGACGACGGATGTCCCACCTACGACTATGGTTGGTGTCGCGCTAAATCACGAATTGGTAGAAGTTATAATTCACGGAGTGGCCGTTAGATCGGGTCCCAGTGAGTGCCTGAATGTTATACGAGCCCGCTAGCCTTTTAATCAGAGGGTCCTGGGTTCGAAACCCTTGTGGAGGTTGTTTATTGTCGACGATTTCCAAACTAGGATGAAACAGTTTGCTGTCCAGTACTCTCTGGCTGGTTTTCAATGGTTCTCTGGCTGATATCAATCCGTGATCAACTCGTACAAAATGTTTATGTATGAAAGAGATTAAGAGTTTTTATTTATCACTATGATAGCTGTGATGTTCTGTATATCTCACTATTGTTTCGGGATTCGTTTCAACGACATTTTTAAAAATTATTATTTTTCATTTGCGTTCAGAGTGGAACATAAGCTTTCAAAAACATATCCCTACTTTGTTCTATTTTCTGCCGTCCTCTTCAGATATGTTCACGATTCACCAACGTCTCTCATCTCTTCTTCACACGATCTCCTCTATGTCACTGTCACACCAGTGACTACCCAGTAGTCGCTTCTATTTTGGAGTCCACTCGAGCAATGCCCTAGCGTGCGATGTCATTCGGTGGCCTCATCGGTGTATGCCAGATTCATCTCCGATTTCTCCTACATATCTGTTGAGCGATTGGTTCTTGGTTAGTCCGTTGTACTCCAGAGTTTCTTGTTACTATCTCATTCTGGCTGGCTGGGTATTTGATCTTCAGCAGGGGGCCAGTGAAGAGGGTAGCTGTTGATTAAAGTCTGCAACTTACTGTTGGAAATCCTCTTCGTGACATACACGCAATACAAGTTTCTGACCCATATTGAAGAACCGACCTCACAGTGTTGTTGAAAATGTGAATCTTGTTTCTTATGCTGAGTGTAGGCGATTTCCAAACTAGTTTCAGGTTGTTGAAGGCTGTAGTTAAGACGAGGCTTCCTAGATAAGTGAAGGAGGTAACCTTTGTTAAATTTCTCTTTCGTTAATGGTGATTAGTGCTAGTTGTTGCCACTGCTGCTGTTGCGATTCGTTGGTTATCTTCATCACTCCCATCCTGTCTTCTCTGACTGCTTTTTCAGCCAATTTGTTGGTCTTCGCTTGCAAGTCTTCTCGTTTGTGTGAAATTAGACCTACATCATCTTCTTGTCGTCGTCGTCGTATCGGTGGTCTAGCGTATTTCTGTCTCATCGCTTCCCAAAATCTGACACATAATCCAGCCCACCACAATTAAGGATATCGTCAGTGATGATAATCAGTGGTCTTGCCTTACTCCTATGTGCACGTTGAACGCCTTAATGCGTTTTCCGTTGTGAATCGCCTAACACGTGGCATTGTCATTTAGCTTGCTGCTAAATGATGTTAACAATAATTTGAGGTACGCCGTAGTCTTGAAGTAGTTTTCAAATTACTTCACGCCCAACGGTGTCTGTCGAAAGCCTTCTCGAAGTCGATGAAGTTGATGTAGAGAAAGGTTTGTCTGCCATTCTACGCTTTGTTCAATGACGATGCGTAGAGTTGCAATCTGATAAACACATGATCTGCATTTCCTGAATTCAGCTTGTTCCGGGCAGAGTTAGGTATTTAGTGCATACTTTATTCTCTTCATGATGATGCGACTTAGTATTTTACTTGGCGTGGACAAGAGCATTATTCCAAGCTAGTTCTTTCAGAGTGAGGTGTAAGTCGCCCTTTTCCAAATCAGTAGGCACCTTTCCTTCTTTTCAAACGTTTTCCAGTAAAGAGGCGACAATATCTACCGTAATCTCTGGGGTCGTCTTCTGTGCTCCGGTTTGGGGGAATACCATCTGGTCCCGCTGCCTTCCCGGCTGGACTTCAGTAGCTTGATTGCATTCAGGACTTCTTCTTTCGTTGGTGGATTGGTGTCCACTGGGATTTCCTTGCGTGCTGTTGGTGGTATTTCTGAGCGAGTTGCCAGTGACAGTTGATTCAATAGTCCTTCAAAGTGATCAGTCCACTGTTTAATTTGTTCTTCCTCCTTGGTGATCAGGTTTCCTTGAGCATCTTTTATTGATTTCATCATCTGAGTTGATCTCTTCTCGGAAAGATACTTGGTTGTCTGATATAGTGTCCCGACGTCTCTTTTGGCTGCGGTTTCAATGACATATAACCTAATTACTATTCATATTTATTATTCCGTTGGGTTTCAAATAGAAAATAAGCATTCAACAGCACACCTTTACTGTATTTTATCTGTGCAGTCATCGTCAACTGACTGCACGATAGCCCGTAAGCTCTCATCTAACGCTGACACGATCTTTCCATGTCGTCCTGAGACGCGCAGCTCTCAATTTCCTATTTAGGCTTCACTCGAAGGTCTGGTAGGCGTGTGATGTCATCCAACCATCTCTTCAGTTTATTCTGGTACATCTTAATTTTCCACTGTGTATCTGTAGTGTAATAAACTATCGGCTATTTCCCTACCAGAGTTTCTCTTTTGCTGGTCTTTTCTGGTCGGTCATCTCATGGTAAGTAGCTGTGGATGAGTGTTCAGCAGTTCGCTACAAATAGTTTGTGTGATGCACGCTTCTAATAGATATTTAGACTTTAATTCATCTCCTCCGAAAGATGTCTCCAAAGGCAGACCTATTTAAGTGTCTAATAAACACAGCAATAACAACCTAGGTCCAAGGCTTCCCTTGGCCGATTGCCTCCAACTATCTAATATCATCAAATCAGTCTACACCATGATGGCGAGCTACCTAGAACGGTGATCACATTACCAACCTGACCGAAAGAATTCATTCAGTCTGCACCAAACAAAGGACTGGCTAGATATATCACACTAGTTACTAATGCCCAATCAAAGTACCCATTACAGTCCTACAGGAGGTCAATCGCAGGCCTGAGAAGCTGGCTCAGTGGTAACGTGTCTGACTGCAGGTGGCACTGAGTGACGCGGATTCAAATCTCAGAAGGCTGACATAAGTTCCTTCCGTGTTGCAGATACGCCTTGCTGACTGGTGACTTCCAACTAGCCCGAAACCTAGGTGGTGGCCAAGGCTTCCAGTGGCCGATTGCCTCCAACTATCTAGTATCAGTAAATATAACTTTTACATATCATCTGTATAATTGAATAGGTACACACACACACACAGAAATCTTACCTTATTCATTGCTCCAATACTTCTTGAACCAGCATCGTTAAACATTCTCGAGTGTAGCAGTAATGCACGTAAAGCTAAATACAGTCTACATAACATTGGTAAAATTAACAATAAATATGGACTGAAATGATCATCTAAATGGTGTAGTGGATGACTTCGTTTATAATTTATGTAATTAGTCACTGGGAATGGACGATCAAAAAATAAATCAATTCCGGGGAATGGATGAATTGAGCAAATAAATAATTCAGTAATAATTTGTATTACTCTATACTTTGTCACACAAATTCGCCAATCTTTTGTATATTCTTCACATAGAAATACCTGCGAAAAAGGGGAAGACAAGAAGAAAAAGAAGGCGTTTTCATATTAGTTCTCCATGATGAATTTGATTGAATAAAGCAGGAACAAATCAGTGGAGGTTTTTGCAGAATAAGAAGATGGTTGATGAATAGTTGGCGTGAGCCATACCCCAAATATTGATCAACCTTATTCAACAGCTGTACGACAACGGCAGCACATGTCAAGTGATCCACAACGGAAAACTCGGCGAGGCGTTCGGAGTAAACACAGGAGTCAGACAAGAGTGCATATTGTCACCACTGATATTCCTAATTGTAGTGGACTGGAATATGCATCAGACAGTGGCAAACGTGAAGACAGGGATACACTGGACCGGACCAACGCGAAGAACCTAGAAGACCCGGATTTCGCGAGTGGATGATTTATGTTTGATGTCACAGAAAATCGAAGACTTACAAGCGAAAACTGACAAACTCATCGAAGAAGCAGTCGGCGAAGACAGGACTCCAGGTTAACATAGGCAAGACGGGGGTAATGAAAATAACAAACAACAACAGCAGCAACATCCAGCTCCAATCACCATCAACGGGAGGGATTTGAAAGAGGTTACTTCATTCACTTACCTAGCAATGAGCTTTGTCTCAACTAAAGGAGGATCGGATGAGGATGTCAAATCGAGCAAGAATCAGGAAGGCGAGAAACACATTCATCAACCTGAAATCAATCTGGAAAGCTTCGTCACTCAGCAACAACAACAAAACTCGGTCATATTTTCAATACAAACGTAAAGTCAGTCAGCTCTTCTATATGGACCAGAAACTTGGAGGGGGGGGCACAAAGAATATTTCCAACAGCTTGTTGCAGACCTTTATTAACAGCTGTCTTCGCTCTATACTGAAGATCAGATTGCTGGGCTGGAGAGAATCACCAACAAGAAACTATGGATGAGAACGAACAAAACAAAAACCAATCGCCAGCTAAAAATATGCTGGAGAAAGTGGGGATGGATTGGATACTGGCTGAAGAAGCCGCTGAGTGACTTCGCGCGTCAGGCCATCGCTCGAGTGGAACCCGAAAGGGAAGCAGCCAGTGGGACGTCAGTGCAAGAGTGGGTGACATGGAGGAGATCGTGTGAAGAGGAGTTGAGAGAGTATGGACTAACATGTATGCAGATGAAAAGTACAGCAGAAGACAGAAGTGGCAAGTGGAGACGTGCAGTTGGAGCCCTATGTTCCACTAGGAACTCAAGGGAACAATAATAATATAATATTACCATCATTGTTAATTTCGTTGGCTTCTCATCATCTACTTGCATACAGACTAAATAAATTATGAGGTTTATGTATAGCAAAGTGTTATTACACTTGCAAATATGATGACAAATTGTCAGTTCACACAAGGTTCCACAATTATTGAACAGTGCTCAGAAAATTACGCTTATACAGTTAACACACAGGCAGTTCAAGTTTAAACAAAGCAAATGTGTGCATGCATACAATGGTAAAGGAGTTACGTAATTAAGATAAGAGGTACTTAAGATGATGAGTGACTAATAAATTGGGTAATGGTGTACTGAATTCAACTCAAATCGTAGAAATGAGAGACAATTAAAATTACACTATATCAAAGCGGAGTGAGGTTAAAGCCAAAGATTATGTAATGAAATGAAAGAGAGAATAAAGACATCCAGTTACGAGGATGTCCAAGAAAAGACTGATAACAGCTTCTTTCTGAATGCACATTAATCTGGTTTCTAGCGTTTGAGAGAAATTTCTTCGAGAAACCTGAGGAGAATCGAGCTCTCCTGTCTATTGATAATTTTAAGGGATTTCGCGTTTTCTACCTCATGATCCGTATCAATCAAGGAGATGTTTGATAATAGTGCTATTATAAGAGTTTGTTTCTTTTGAGACAAAGGATTTTCAGCATATGTTCAGAAAATTAGAGGTGTACCATTCTACTTTCTGTTTTCCCAAAGTAACTGCTCCTGCAGATCCACGTAAATTTGTATACACAGTTGGAGTTAACATGAGAAGCGTATCTATCCACTTTTGACTGCTTGTCTCTTGTTTCTATGATTTGAGTTGAACTCAATACATTGTTATCTAATTTATCAGTCATCCAGCATCTTGTACATCTCTCATCTTTTATTAAGTAGCTCCTTTACCATTGTATGCATGCACACATTTGCTTTGTTTAAACTTGAACTGCTTGTGTGATAACTAGATAAGTGCAATTTTCTGAGCACTGTTCATTAATTGTGGAACCTTCTTGTTCAACTGACATCATGTCAGCACATTTGCAAGTATGTTTAAACGTTTCTGTACATAAACCTTATCATCTATTTAGGCTGTAGGCAAGCAGCTGAGCTGATAGGAAGCCAACGAAATCAACAATGTTGGTGTACCATTTTCTTATTCTACACAAACCGCGCACCGAGTTGTTCTTGCTTGATTCAAGAAAACAATTAATAGTGTGAACTTGACGAGAAAATTAATCTCTGGGGAACAATAATCGCCATTTTAGATGTTGAGAAAACTGAAGGATTGAGTGAAGAAATATTGGCAGAAGTCGAAATTCAAGGATCATTGGAACGGGTCCCAGTGGCTTAATTGTATACGAACTCACCTTGCAACCCGAAGATCCTGGGTTTGAACCCCTGTGGTGGGTGCGTACTGATGAAGAGTCCCAAACTAGGACGAAGCAGCTGTCCAGTACTCCCAGGTTTTCCAATGGTTCTCTAACTAATGTCAGCTCATGATGAAATCCTGAAACCAATCAACCAAATCCCTACAAACCAACACTTAAATATTCACCTTTCAGTTATATACTCATCTAAGGCTATGCAATAGATGTTCAGTAAGCAAACAAAAAGTCATGCATGGCTCCGTTTTGTCACATTTATTTGGTGGGGCTCAATAGTCAGTGGCAAAACAAAACAAAAGGAAAAACGAAAACACTCAAAGCGATTCTTTGCATCCCGTTGAATCGTTCCATCCAGTGCACATCGATTTCGTCTAGTGCTGAAGATCCAGATGAAGTATCTATCACTATCAACGGAATACATTTGAAAGAGGTTATTTCCTTCTTTTTAAAACTTCAAGTACATGGCAAAGATGAGGCAGTCAAAACGTGGATCTGAGAAATGCACGGCAAATCTCCAGCACTCTGAAGTCAATTTCAAAATTTTCTTCATTTTGCAACATAAATAAAAATTCAGATGTTAAACATCAATCTCAAGTCAGTCAGTTCTTCTTTGTGAGTGAGAAACGCATCATAGGAATCAGACGTTTACCAAGAATTAATTTTGCTCTTCCCTTGTGAAGAAGGAGAACATGATGGTAGACTACACTTCCTTTACGTCCAGTTGAGCAGAAGAGAGGATGGTTTATTCAGGAGAGATGTCTATAGAAAACCTACATCTGGAGGCCAACAATATACACATTTCCTTAGTTTTGTACCAATCCGATAGAAGGGCAATTTGGTCAGATGCCTAACGAATAGATCAAGACGGATCTGTACAGATGACTCCCTAGAAAATGAGTTAGGATACATCCAAAATAAGCTGGTCCAAATGGGTTATCTTAGTAGATTTGTAGAGAGACACATAAACACCCAATACAATAAATTATTATTATTATTGTATCCTTTAGTTCCCAAAGGAACATAGGGCTTCAGCTGCGCACCTCCATTGACTTCTGTTTTCTGACAACTTTTTCACCCCCTCCAGGTCTGTCCAAATGCTTTCATCTCCTCCTCGTATTACCTCCCACAAGTCCTCCTCGGATGACCAACTCGCCGCCTCCCTTTCGGGTTCCACTCGAGGGATTGTTTAGTGATGTCACTTGATGCTTTCCTCAGAGTATGGCCAATCCATCTCCATTTCTTCCTGCCTATTTGTTTCACAATCGATTCCTGATTGGTTCGCTCCCAGAGATCCCTGTTGCTGATCTTTTCTGCCCATCTGATCTTGAGTCGTATTGAGCGAAAACAGCCGTTAATGAAGGTCTGTAGTTTGTTTGAGGAACTCTTCATGACGCCTCAAGTCTTTGATCCGTATAGTAGCACTGATTTTACATTGGAGTTGAAAATCCGGATGTTATTTTCGATGGTGAGTGCCGTTGACCTCCACACAGATTTGAGAGTAATGAAAGCTTGTCTTGCTTTTCCGATTCTGGCTTTGATATCCTCGTCAGTTCCGTCAGCCTGTAGTTGAAACTATTTCCAAGGTAGATGAAGGAGGCTGTTTCTTTCAGGTTCCTCTCATTTATGCTGACTGTCATCTGTTGTTATTGCTGTTGCTGTTGGTGTTGGCAAGGAATCTTCATCACCTCTGTTATATCTATGTTCACCCGAAGTCCAGGCTATTTTTGATGCTTCTTCTGCCAGCTTGTTGCTTTTCACTTGCATATCTTCTAGTTTGTGGGAAATCAGACATATATCATCGGCGAAGTCCAGGTCCTCCAAGTATTTTGTGTGGGTCCATTTTATGCCTGTTCACTCGTTGGTTGTTGTTGTCTGTCGCATTATCCAATCGATTGCAATCAGGAAGGTCATTGGTGATAGTAGACAGCCTTGCCTCACTCCCGTCCTCACTTCGAAGGCTTCCGTAAGTTTCCCGTTGTGGACTACTTGGCATGCAGCATTGTCGTATAGCTGTTGGATGAGATTTATAATTGTCGATGGGACCCCGTAGTAGAGAAGTAGTTGCATAATCACCTCTCGATAAACGGTGTCTGTAGAAAGCATTTTCAAAGTCGATGAAATTGAGATAGAGAGGTGACTGCCATTCCAAGCTTTGTTCAGTGATGATCCGTAGAGTGGCGATTTGATCAATAAATGATTTGTTTCTCCTGATTCCGGCCTGTTCCGGTCGAAGTTTTTCATCTAGGTTGGCTTGTTTGATTCTCTCCAAGATGATGCGACTTAGTATCTTGCTTGGAATGGACAGAAGCATAATTCCATGCCAGTTTTTGCATTGAATTAAGTATCCTTCCTTTGGTAGTTTGAATAAGTATCCG